ATGCCAGTCCAGTGGGTTTGTCGGGAATACTATCTCAAAGATCCGCATGTGGTGCAGATAGACCAGGCGAGGAAGGGGGGGTATCGTCACCCATCAAGGGAATTTGCAAGACCAACTCTATTTGATCAATTTCGATACGCTGATTACGAAAATCAATGTTATACGGAAAAGTTCGGTACCAGGAAGCCTCTATTTCACGTTCAAACCTCGTTTTCGTCCAAATTTGAACGTTGACCGAAAGTTTGTAAATGAATCGATTTTTATCAATTTCGATGTGCTGATTTCAAAAAATTATCTTATAAATGTAAATTCAGTACCAGAAAGTCTCTATTTCATGTTCAAACCTCATTTTCATCAAAATTTGAACGTTGAAAAAAGTTTGTAAATTGTTTATTCTCATCAATTTCGATATACTGATTTCGAAGGTTGATCTCATACGGCGGAATTCTGAATGCACTGGTCCCTTTTTCATGCTGAAATCCTTTATTTATCGTTTTCAATATTTCTAGAGTAAAATCTGCTGCACACATGGATTTGCTTTAAAAGCTTGAAAAAGATTATGTCAAAAGGCTATATAAAACGGCTAATAAACATTTAAAGTTGTAAACAATCTTTTGGTGGTACAAAACTTGAAAATGGCATTGAAAAAAGCAAACATTTAGTAAACTAAAGCTTTTCGTCTGACACTCTTCAGACTTTAAAACGTCAGAACATAGATCGAAAACTCTACGCTAGGAAATATGTATACCTAGTTGTGGATCGAAATAGGCCAATCAGAAACAGAAGCACATGACTGTATAGTTTGACCAATCAGTGCCGCTTGCCTATTGAGAATGTTACCAATGGAGTCCTAAGGTGAAAACGAACTCCTTTTTTCTACACAGAAGCGGTTTTCTCGTGCTTATGTAGATTCCGAAACTGCTAGGTAGAACGACGATCGGGCTTTACCAATAATCCGAAACATGTCGCCATTATAGTTTTTGCACAATCAGGGTTTTCTAGTATATGCTGCCTGATTGCAGAATCGCAGGTTTTAGTTGTAATTTTAGATTTGCAAGACCGAGGTGGCTGTTCTCTTTGGGGATGTGTTTTGTTTCTAATATTAGACGGAACATGTTGTTTTATTCTATCCTCCAATCTTTGGTTAGTGCGTCCTACGTAGCCAGAATCACACTGGCACGTAAATTCATATACAACGGAACTTTTTTGTGTGGCAGGAACGCAGTCCTTTTGAATGGACGGAAGGGCCTTTTTCGTACTATAAACAACACGTGGGTTGACTGCAAAGAAACAATTTGCAATGGCCTGTTTTATTTGGCTTTCAAAACGTAGGGAACTGTCACTGATCCAGGGTAGTTTTAGATAGACCGGGCACTTTTGAGGTCCCAAATTTTACGTCAGCCGAGAAATTTCCTATCTTCTCCTTAATGTAAACTGAAATAACATCCTCTGGATAGCCGTTCTCCAGAAAGATCTCAGTTAGATTTTTACTGTGCTACTTAAATTGTCATACAGAAAATTTATTCAGTGGTCTTGCTTCATGCTGTCTATCATATCAACATTGCTTCAATTAAAAGGCGAGCAATAGTTGGTCTTCACGCATTCTCCGGCAACGATTATGTGTCCATGATTTCCAAAAAAAGGGAAAAAGTCATTCTGAAAAGCAATGTTAAAGCGCAACGAATTCGTGAGCACTTTTGCAAGGCTTGGAACAGATGTCCAGCCCATCCAATTGCTATTGAGGTCCTGGAGAAGTTTACATGCTTTCTTTAATTTTCTAAGTGACAAACTAAGTGAAAATAGTTTTTCAACATTGTCACCAAGGCCAATGACGCCCGCTCAAAGAGTTTCTGGAAGATTTTTGAAACTTACGGAAAAGTGTTTGAACTTAGTTTAATGCCACCGTGTGTTGCCAATCTCATTTGCACAAAGCTACATTAGCTTATGTTGCAAACATTTACAGAAATGCAGACCAGTTGGAGTTAAGCATTGGCAGTCCAGTTGATCATGGTTGGGATGCAGCCGGTAACGCATCTTGGAGTAAAGAGATATACCTAGATAATAATGCCGAGCTGCTTCTAAATATCAATCAAGATGCTGAAGAAGACAATATTGACCCAATGAATGACAATTGCTTTGAGGATGAGTATAGCAATGACTCTGATGACAACGGATACTAGAATGTTTATTCAAAACAACTTTAAATGTTTATTAGCCGTATTATATTGCCTTTTGACACAATCTTTTTTAAGCTTTTAAAGCAAATCTATGTGTGCAGCAGATTTTACTCTAGAAATATTGAAAACGATAAAAAAACGATTTCAGCATGAAAAAGGGACCAGTGCATTCAGAATTCCGCCGTATGAGATCAACTTTCGAAATCAGTATATCGAAATTGATGAGAATAAACAATTTACAAACTTTTTTTCAACGTTCAAATTTTGATGAAAACGAAGCTTGGACACGAAATAGAGGCTTCCTGGTACTGAATTTACATTTATAAAATAATTTTTTTAAATCAGCACATCAAAATTGATAAAAAATCGATTCATTTACAAACTTTCGTTCAACGTTCAAATTTGGACGAAAACGAGGTTTGAACGTGAAATAGAGGCTTCCTGGTACCGAATTTCTCCGTATAACATCGATTTTCGTAATCAGCGTATCAAAATTGACCAAATAGCGTTGGTCTTGCAAATTCCCTCGATGGGTGACGATACCCCCCCCTTCCTCGCCTGGTCTAAGAAGGTAAAGTTGTTGCATATGCTAGCCGAGCATTATCAGACGTAGAACTTCGGTACTCTCAAACGGAGAAGGAGGCTCTTAGCATTGTTTGGGCCATAGAACATTTTCATTTATATCTTTATGGTCATTCATTTACACTGGAAACAGATCACAAGCCTTTAGAAATGCTATATGAGAGGGCAAACTCAAAACCATGTGCTAGAATTGAGCGGTGGGTTCTTCGCTTACAGCCGTACAATTTCCAAGTCAAGTATAAACCAGGACCAACTAATCAGGCTGATTTTCTATCACGACACCCTTCTACGTCTAACACTGGAAAACAAAGCAAGATTGCTGATGAATATGTACAATTCATAGTACAAAACGCTGTTCCAAAGTCAATGAGTCTTTCTGAAATTCGCGAAGAGACAGATAAAGACAGAGTTTTAAAAGCACTTCGAGCTGCAATTCGTCTCAATCGTTGGGATGCTGATACTGTTAAACCTTTTCGACCTGTCAAAGATGAACTGTCTATTGATTCGTCAAATATAATGCTACGTGGTGACAGATTGTTATACCTGAATCTTTGCACAAGAAAGCAGTTGACTTAGCCCATGTAAGTCACCAGGGATTAGAGAAAACCAAAGCACTTCTACGTGAAAAGATCTGGTTCCCTGGCATTGATGTACTTGTCAAGGAGATTATCACAAAATGTGTGCCTTGTCAACCGGTCGGGAGAAGTAGTCCTCCTGAACCACTCCACATGACGGAAATGCCAAGTGCACCTTGGCAAAAGATTAACATTGATTTTCTTGGTCCACTTCCATCTGGCGAGCTACTTCTGGTTGTCATAGACAGATATAGCCGCTATTCAGAGGTGGAAATTGTTCGCTCGACCAAAAGTTCTGTAGTGATTTCCAAGTTGGATAAGATTTTTGCTGTCCATGGTATACCGTTTGAATTAACGTCTGATAATGGACCACCTTTCAATGGAGATGAGTTCTCTCGTTATTTGAAATTGTTGGGTGTAAAGTTTACTCGCTCTACTCCAAAATGGCCACAAGGTAACGCGGAAGTCGAACGCTTCATGCAACCATTAGCTAAAGCGCTAACGACAGCAGTTGTAGAAGGAAAGAAATGGCAACAAGAGCTATGCAGGTTTCTATTGCAATATAGAACAACGCCACATAGTACGACCAAGGTACCACCGTCCGAATTGTTGTTTAACAGAACAGTTCGTGGAGCATTACCAACATTAAAACCTCGCACTATTGTTAATCGGCATAAAGAAGCTAAAGATAATGAGCAGAAGCGTTGTATCTACAATAAGACCTATGCAGATTTACATCGCAATGCCAAAGAAAGTTCGATCAAGGTTGGAGATACTGTTCTTGTACAACAAGAGAAGAAGCAGAAATTAATGCCCAAATTCAATACTACTCCATACAAGGTGATTGCTCGTAAAGGCTCGACAGTTGTTGCAGAAAACAAAGAACGACATCGTATTACACGAAATGTTTCGCACTTTAAGCAGATTCCGGACGTTAATGAAATGGATTATAGTAGCGAAGAGGAGCGTAATAATGAACCTGAACCAGCATGTGAATATAGGAGATCAAACAGAACAAGAAGAGCACCAGTGCGATATGGACATGGACTTTCTTATTAATATTTGGTAACATTTACGTTTCTATATTTTCATATTCCTATTGTTCTGTTGTGTTGTTTTGTTTTAAAAAAAAGGGGGTGATGTAGTAATGACGTATGTTATGTATTGGACACAGGGGTAAAAAGGATTAATTAGAATAAGCAAGCATGCGAGCACGTTAGATGCACATGAGAATTACAGATCTTGTTGTTATTCGAAGAGAGTATTTCTTTCCATACTACTACAACTCACAGAGTTTATAATTATCTAAGCTTATGCCAGCTATATACGTCGATGTATTGTCGAAAAAGCTTGATTAGCTGACAGTAGTTTGCTTTGCTTAAGCTAGTCACCTTTGAAATCCTTTTGTTTAAAACAGTTCTATTTTTAAAGCACATTTGCACTTGTGGCCTTTATAAGACATCCAATCCCTCAGGGCTTTGTTCTAGTTGCTTTGCTTTTGAATTCAATATGCATAAAGACATAATCCACTCAACACCAAATGCATATGATTAAAAACAGCTCAGCTAAGGAATCTGATTGGAACAGCATTGCTGTAGGTATATTTGTATAAGATGAGTTTAAAAAGAAATGAAAATTTAATTATAGAAGATTTTCTTACATAAACAGATTATTAATTAAATCAACATAGTTACAAAAATTAGACAAGTTTAAATGAGAGAGGTCATTTTGAATTTTGATAGAAATTGCTTGTAATGAAAAGTAGGATGCTAAAACAGTTTCATTAACACTAATCTATTTGTCATTTCACTCTTTCCCATCATCTCTTCTCTTTAGGCCAATGTAATCTGAAAATGGAACCAATCTTTTGTAGAAACCAGCGATCAATGTGACGAAAGATGCAGTGATAAGTGTCAAGGTGACAAAAAGCCATCTTGGGCCATAATTTGCAAATAATGGTACCATTGCCACTGGTCCAAGAAACCTTGCAAACGATCCAAAAGCCGATAGAATGGCCATAAACAAACCCTATTTAAGAGAGAAATTGAAGAAGGAATTGAAATAATCAATTATTTGAAAATCAACTGCAATAATAAAAAAAGGACTTTCACTTGCAAGTCTATCATTGTTTTGAATACATGTTGGGAAGTAATCATTTTGTATGAGAGCCTATGATATCAGTTTGTTGCAATATTGTTAAGTTCACAACGTCGCAATACTTACTTCGTTCGAAAATCAAATTCTGACGCAAGTTTAATAAGTTTGAAATTATTATATATTCTTTGTTACAGGTTATCCAGACAAAACATTGCATTAGCCAACAATAGTGGTCGATAGTCTTTATAATGAAAAAATTCGATACCTCAACAACTAGAACAAAAAAACGGCGAAGAAGCACAAGGTGCCAGACCTGCTTTCTTGGCCCAATAACTTTAGAGTACAGCGATGCAGCGACCAAAGTTGCAATGCTAATGCCCATATTGTAGACCAAATTTGCAACCAGATATTGAGAAAGGTATATCTTTGGTGTGGATTTGCACCAACTGTATTGAATTGAGCAGCCTGAAGACAAGACTGTCTTTGTTGCATTTCCAACTTGGAAATCTTCTGCAAAACAAGTACAGGCCATTTAAGCATTTTTGCCTGTGTTTATGTTTTTGCAGCAATACATTGTGCCAGTGAGAGCTTTTTAAACAAATTTAGGGGGCATGAGGGCATCATTGCTGGGTACTTAAAAGTCCTAGATTAAGCACAAGGTTATACAACTGTAAGCATTTCTACATGGGCTTTAGGCAAAGTAGCTTTTACAAAATTAGATAAAGCTGCCCTAAAATTCAATTTTTTGCCAAAACAACTGTTGAATGTTCTTTCTTCTATTGTGCCTGAATTAAGTTAAGGCGAGTTGAGGGGAGCTAATTAACAATAAATTATTCAGTATGAAGGCTGATTCAGGGGAAACTTTGATGAAAGTAGTCCATTACTGGCTTCTTTAAGTCTCTGCTACCTTTCATTTGCCTCTTACAGAGAGCGAACGTCAGAAATTATAACATCTGGAAAGGCAAAAAGCATTCTAGCCAATTACCCCTAAATTGTATTCTTGAGAAAACCTCTTCTTGAGTAAATTCTAGAAATGATTGGCTCAGTCATGTTTCACCTGTCTCTCTAAAGTTTTCCCCGATACTAAGGATGTTAGTGCAAAGTCGTATGATTTGAGAACTTGGTTATTTCTAACGAAGCTATCTTGGGACCGGGTTGCAAGGAATAATTTGAATAGTGAGTTAAATTAGTATATAGAATTAAATTACGAATTTGTACAAGAATGAAATGTAAGTACGACCCTTTGAGCATTACTCATCATCGGGTAATTGATGATTCAACCTTGGAAGCATTTACCTATGTTTAAAATATAATTTGAATTATATTGTTCTCTGCAAACATACCTTCTCTTTGGAGCTTTGGAATTTTACTTCCCCAGGGCAATGTAATAATAAATGAAAGCATCACTAAAACCAATCCGAGCAGAAGAATCAATCGTTCTTGAAATCTACGTAGAAAAAAAATTTGCAGGCTATATAATTATTTAAAGCTATTGGATCAGTTAGTTGAATATATTTCGACAGACAAGGAACTTTTAACCGTAAAGTAAACCTTTACATCTTGAGGAAATGAAAACACCAATGCATTTAGCAAATTCCAAAAGAAATATATATGATGTTGGCTTTTTTGTATCACCTTTTGTTATATTGACAAAGAAAAACCATTCAAAATTCACAAACGTATTAGCTTGCAGTCCAAGCTATGCTTATAAAAAATTTAAGAGGGTCTTAAAAGATGACATCTGATTTTAAAATTATCAAGAAGTATTTTCTTTGACCATCTAATGGTTAGTCAATTTGAATTCAGATTAGATGTCATCCTATTAATGAAATAATTTATATTGCAAATCAAATGGCAGAAACAGCGTCCAGAGAAAATTAAAGTATAACATACACTTACTTTCTCATGGCATATCTAACAATCAATAGTGCAATGAGGGCGAAAATACCAGATCCGGACAGAACCATCCCGGCGTAAAAGACCGCTTGTGCTTTGTTCCAGCCAAACTCTGCTTGCATCAGTGGTGTTGCTACCCTAAAGGTGAGCAATTGAACAAAATAGTGATTTAAAATGCATTATTTACAGTTCGTTATAAAGGATAGTTCTAATTTGAACTAATTAAGATCAAAAGTTTACACAAATTAATTACAATTACAATTACTAGATAAAAAGCATAATAGGCTTTGCAGATGGAGCATTTTTTATTTATATCTACAAAAGATCATTAGAAACCCCAAACTTTGCAATCAAGTTCCTTTCAACGCAATGCTAAGAGCACTTTATGCATTAAGAAAATATTCTAGTTATCGGAGGTAGATGATTGAGATTTGTTAAATGCCTTTAAGAATGTTAGGTGCCTATTTCAGAAAATTCATAGCATCATCCATGTTCCAGCGTTCTTATTTTATCACTAATGCTAGTTACTCTAAAAATATTTACAAAAACGTTTGGTTTTCGTTAAAGTTGCTTTATTGCCATTGCTCAAGACAAAAAAGCATTCCTATCATGCTTCCCATTTTTGATACATTTTATGTTTATACATTGTTTGTTTCAGTATACGCTTTCGGTTAATTTGAGGCTAGATGACATTTTTTCAGGACCCCCTTATTAGCACGGTTGATTTGGATGATGAAATCTTAATTTTTTTAATAAGGTAAGAGAAAAATTCCAAAATTAAATCCAACTTACAGCTTCAAAGAACCTTTTGGCAGCTAAGAAAATATTCTCTCTTTTTTGATAAAGTAACAATAAGCCAATCCAAACTCCGTTGCAATAAATTGGATGTACTCAGTATCAATGTAACCAATGGGGTTGAAAACAAATCAAATTAAGATTACTAATTGAGAACAGTCTTTCTACCACCGATTGAGATAAGATAATATCCCTAAAAATTTGCAGGACTGGGTCTCAGAAAAATTACAACCATATTCAAAGACAGTTGTACCAGCATAGAATTTTATAAAGGAAGATTGTATTTTTACCCTAAAAAAATGATTCGATTAGAAGAGCACATCGTAAACTGATGCAGACAAACACAAATTGCTAAATCAATTGGCGTTCAAATGAGAAAAAATTGACAGGTGCTAATTGAATATTATCAAATGCATACGTTTCAACGAGGGAAAAGGCAAAGAAGAGGAAGGAACACGCGGCAACCGTCACAATCAAAGCACCCATATCTGGTCTCGGAAGTTGACCTAAAAAATAAATATTTAGATAGCAAATATTCTGCTTGCTAAACATAATATATTCATTTGCTATACTTTATAATCATAGTTTGCTTTTTTGACACTAGGTCGTTTGCTGCTATGTCCTCAGCTACTAGTTCGTTGGAAAGTTTCTTCAAAATCACAAATTTCAGACACAAATTTTCAAGAAACTCTAAAAATGGCTTTTAAAAAAGAAACATTACGTCATAACATTGATCGAAAACTCTACACTAGGAAATATATATACCCAGTTGTTGATCGAAATAGGCAAATCAGAAACGCGAGCACATGACTGTTGAGGCTACCCAATTAGTGCCGCTTGCCTTTATAGAATGTTACCAATGGAGTCCTAAGGTGAAAACGAATTCCTGTTGCTTACATAATGGCAGTTTTTTCGTGCTTATGTAGATAGATTCCAAAACTGCTAGATGGAAAGAAGATCGGGCTTTACCAATAACTCAAAACATGTCGCCATTATAGTTTTTTGCACAATCAGGTTTTCCAGCAAATGTTACCCGATAGCAGAATCGCAGGTTTTAGTTGTACATTTAGATCGGCAAGACCGAGGTGGCTGTTTTTTTGTGAGTGAGTTTCGTTTCTAATAATTGAAGGAAAATGCTGCTTTATTCTATCCTCTGATCTTCGGGAAGTGCGTCCTACCTAGCCAGAATCACACTTGCACGTAAACTCATAGATAACGGAACACTTTTTGGTGTTAGGAACGCAATCCTTATGGTGGACGCACTTTTGGTTTAGGGGGCCTTTTTCTACTGCAAACAATACACGGATTAGCAGCAAAGAAACATTTTGTATTATCTTGTTTAATCTGACTTACAAATTGCAAATAACTGTTACCGATCCAGAGTAGTTTTATATAAACCGGGCGCTTTTGCAGATAAAATCATTTTCCAGCCAAGAAATTTGTTGTTTTCCCTTTATGTAAACTGAAAAGACATTCTCTATATAGCTTATATCCAGGGGAATCCTTGTTAGTTATTCATGTTCCGGGTCGAGATTAGACTTAGAACAAATCATCAGTGCCCTATAGAGAATTGTTTTGATAAGGTTGATTTTTCTTTGTTTTGGAAGAAACGAACAAAACCCTAAAAATTAACTAAAGAAAAATGTTTAAATTTATAGTCTTCGATACTGTGCAGTCATTAAAAACTTCCAAAAATATTGTCTGTACAATTGCTAAAAAATGCATTCAGTCAATGGTAAAAAATAAAAAGATAGATAATCTATGTTGGTTGGATACCTGCTTTGGAACTCTTGTTAATTTCAATGTTGTATTCTTTCAGAAAAAGCAGAAATAGAAGCAAAATGAAGATCTCGAAGACAATTCCAATCCAGCCAGCTACGTTGTATATGTCGATGTTCAATAACGAAGAATGACCCTTTTCGCCGATGATAGGGACTGCAACAGACTGCAAAGCTGTTCGAAAACAACTGAAATTTAGAAAAATGATATAAATATAATCCTATTTAAAGTATCCTCAATACTTCCCATGCCATTGAAATGAGATTTTGACTCCGAACCGCTCTTGGTCGGAGTCGAAATCCAGTTTGCTGCTTAGACTCCGAACCGCTCTTGGTCGGAATCGAACAAGACATAGTCATGGTTAAAAGGTCCTCAGAATGGTTAAATTCAGTTTTTTGCTTTATTTTAAACAATAAAGGAAATGTTCTTTTACCTGTACCAATTGCGTAACCAATAAGCATCAAGAAAGTGATGACTGTGAAAGCATTTCTTCTTTCAGATGTTGTTGTTGACTGAGGAATGATAGCACGGCAGACAGCTTTGTCACCTAAGCAGACAAATGTAAACCTAAATGATTTCTATACCAGACACAAAAAAAGTTGCAAGTATGCTTTTGATTTTACATGAAATCATATCACTAAGAAAACTAAAAATATATACCTAATTTACAATTATTACCTGCTGAAGATTTTGACTACAATATATGTAAAAACATTTTCTAAACTGTGCTAAAGGATTTCAGGATAAAGTCAGTTTATACTTCCTGAGGTATATAGTGAAACGAGTACTGCAATGTTAAAGATGGCTAACATTCTTATCAGTTTATCAAAATTGGTATAGCCAAAGTCAATAGAAAAAACTCTTGTCTGGAAGCCTATTGTTCAGTTTTTTGTTCGGATCTAGAACTGGAAAACACTTTTATCCTAATCATGTGACAATATGAAACACCCTCACATCTTGCAATAGCAGTTGCAGGCAGTTTCGTTAAACCCAGCGCACACAGGTGACCCACATGTTTTAAAAACAATGAAATTTGGGTTTTTGAAAAGTTGCTCGTTTGCACGGGTCAGAGACAAAGATTTTTCCGTTTCAAAGTCTGTCTTCGCGGTTAAAATACTTAATTACTTTTATAAAATCATTTCTCAAAAGCAGGAAAAAGAAAAGTGGAAACCAATCAATCTATTGTTTTTTTATCTATAGACTTTTCAATTCATGTCTTTTCGTTGAATTCATGTAATGTCTTTTCTGTTCTGTCCAAACAAAGACCGATATTGAAATTTTTGTTTTTTTTGGGGTTGGGGGCAGCCCTGATAAAAAATTTTACAAAAAATTAGCCAAGTCTTGCAAAAAAAGTATTTTACTTATACTATTAAGTTTTTTTGGGCTAGAGGGAAAGGACCCTTGGCCCCCTGTTATTTCGGCCCTTGGTCCAAAATAATGATGACCAAAGCCTCAAACTTCAACCATATCTGTATGACACTTAAGTGACAGCTTGCAACAACTTCCTTGACTTTATGAATATTCTACGAAGGCTTGTATTTTTGTTTCAAAACTCTTATCAGGTCTATAGACAGGACTTATAGTGTTGCAATACTTAAAGGCCCTCACTGCGCTTGAACATACGACAAATTGTGATTTTCGAGAAACATAGTATTGACTCTTTCTTGATTTATTAACCTAAATAAATAATCTCTTGCAATGGTTCTCGCACATGGATGTAGTGGATGTTAAACTTTCTTTTTGAAGGCATGCAAAATATTTTCCTTGACAGTAACATGGTATTGCTAATGTCTCTCACGAATTTCAAACCTATAGGGACCTCCCCGACTGACAGCTTGTGGTGTTAGAGAAAGCCAGCCACGGAAATATTATTATTTACCTGTGGACAGGCCAATTATAAGCTTTGCTGATAGAATCAACATTTTCCCATGAAAACCATGATATTTTTCAGGAAGCACATAAAGAAAGTTTCCAACAATGCGAATGAAGACGCATGCTATCAGTGGCTCTTTTGCTGGTCGGTACTGGCACCAGGCACCAAACAGAAATGAACCAGCTACTTGGCACAAGCTGAAACCACCATTTGTCCAAGCAAGAAATTGGGGGGTGACCGTAGGATCAATCTATAAAATTAAGACGCTCAGATTTGGAAAAAGAAGCTCACTTAAAAACAAATGCTATTAATACTACAGCTTTGGTTTATGAAATATCAAAAATGATATTCACGCCAAGGCTTATATTGATAATTGACCTTGCAAAGACTATTATACAACATAATATACCTCTATTATATATATACCTTGTCGTTAATATTCTTTGTAATGGATCGAGCATTAGGTATACCATTTTACTTTCCCGTTACTGCTTAAGAACTGTTTGCTTTTATCACAAACGAAAATGGCATTGCTATTTTCAATCATTTTGAGCTTTGAGTTACAAAGAAAACATCTATTCTGCTCATAGAAATCAAAGCTCTTTTATTGCTAATAAAAATCATGGCACTGTTCTAGCTGTTGCCTAAGTATTGCTTTTCGAAGATATGCTTTGAAAGAATATATAGAATCTTGCCTTCTGCAGATAGGGCCATAATGACGGCAGGGTGATTGAAAACTCTAGAATGAATGGAAACAAATATACTTTGAAAAATTGTTTTAGTAATCAAGTTTTTATGGCATGGGTTGTTTAACATCCTTGAGTTAATTTAAAGATTTGAAATATGTTTTCCTAACCCTTTTTCTCAAGCAAAGTCAAGAAAATGCATAATTTGGAAAAAGTCACGTTGGCTGTGAAAAAATATAGTTTCTTACAGTGACCTTCCGAACCTCCGTCAGGACGCTTAAAGAAATAAACGTATACTGTATAACTCTATAACCAAAAGAAAATTCGAAATAATATTGTCTTCAATTAATCAGATCAGATTTCATTTGATCTTAAATCATTTTCCTTTTGTGTAAATCATCATAGAATGAAACTGGAAATTATCTACAAAGAACCAAATAATTTTATATTTTTTATAACAGGAATTAGGACAAGGCTTTGCTATTACATTTGAATGTAGATTTGGGAAATATTCCATTGTTTAGTCTTTTTTAGCTAAGAAAAGGATACTTACCCATTGCACTGAGTAAAACAGCTAAGTAAACGACACGGATTGATCTCCATCTAGCTTTGTATTCTTTTGCAGATTCTTCGTAACCATTCTCTTCTATGTCACTTTCTTGTGAATCTCTGGAATAGAATAAATAGCATATAAGAAAGGTTGTGCTTTAAAAAGCATATACAATGGATTAACAGATAAACAAAAGTATTAAAGGAAACGATCAATCGTATCTCTGCTTCTGTCTCTTATTGTTGTACTTTTATCAATATAAACTGGTTTTTGGGGTAGCTAAAGCATGACAACCCACGAGTTTTATTTTGCCGTAAAAACTGGAAGGGTCAGCTCTCCCAAAGGCAGAAATTAAACAAGTTCTAATTTTTTTTAAATTTTCTAAAGGTTGTAATTTTTTATCAAAAATAGTGTTTTCGGGTGTGCAAAGCTCAAATGCTCTGCTTCTATCATGTGGGCGAAAAAATCGAATATTTCAAAAAGTGTAAACTACCTTTCAGCCTCAAGAAGTTTTTTTGTTTCCATGATAATAACTTTTCCTTCTCTTTAACTCTATCTACGCAAAAAATCTTGTGATAAAATCATAATTTCTGCAAAAAAAGTTTTCAACTGAGAGTTAGTTTGACTGATAATGACAATGGAAATGCTGACATTTACTGTCAACTAATTAAAACATCATATCAGTGAATATTTAAAAAATATCATATTTGGGTAAAGAATTTTCGAAACTGTGGGATCACTGAAGCATGTGCACTTCAATGCTTGCTGGGTAAGAAAAATCATGTGTGTCTAGATAATGGATTCTCGGATTCGAGCAATTTGTATCTTCACATTTGGCGAAAATGGATAACAGAATTGGAACCTTCATGTTGAAATTAGTCTGTGCCAAAAATTTCAAATTGTTTGGGCCGTCAGGCTGCGAATTACCCCATTTTCAAAATTTAGCTTTTCCTATACATTTCAACGGAATTTGTTGCTGTAGTGAAATTTTTTCACTGCAGCAGCAAGTTCCGGTCAACTCTAAAGAAATATCCAAATATTCGAAACCAAGTAACATGCGACCAAACGGTTCAAACAATATGAATTTTTCAGTATAAACTAATTTAAAGATGAAGATTTCAATTCTAAAGTCCATTCTCGAAAAGGATCCGTATATGGCGAAATACAAAATTGATGACATCAACTTGAATCCATCAATAAATGATAATTTTTAATGATGAATAACAGTTAATGGATAATCTTTTTACAATCATGTTAGGGGAAGGCTCAGGAACATGTAATTACGTCATGGGCAATATGAGAGAATTTAGGAAGACTGGGAGGTAACACAAAGTTTATTGACATCTGTTTTTGATAAGCACAAATTACGAGAGTTTGTAAGCAGGGAAAGGGTAGAGCGTTTAAAAGTTTACAAGAAAAACATATAAATGGATGGACAGACTTAAACAGAAGCATTCACGTGCAGAAGAGAAGAACTCAAGGGTGAGTGACACCAGGTCTAGTTTTGAATGTGAAGAAAATTATCCCAATCAATAACATAATATGGTACAAAAGAAAAGTAATGGTTTACCTTACGTGAAAAAGACAACCTGTATGGATTTAGTTTGGTCAAATTTGTGTATTTGTTTTATACCCCACGTCTCACTTATTGTGAGGTCATCACTGAGAAATTAGGCCAAAAGAGGAGAGCATACTTACCGCTGATACAGCTACAGGTAAAGAATTAATACCTTGCAAGGCAGTGCATACGTCCAACAACCATGTGCAGAGATCATGGGTAGGCACAGAGTACAAAGCCTTCTTTGAAAACCCCGTTTTGGATGCCTGGAAGTTGCCATAACAATGTCTATTATTTTTTAAAATGAACGCACTTGAAAATTAAGGCTAATCTCTGGGAATTTCCTCTTTTATCTGAAAAGTAGAGAAGCTGTTTTTAAGCCACATTGTTTTTTAATGGTATCTTTTCAATCCGAAGAAAAGACGTTGAACTATTGATTGAGGGGACACTATAATGATAGGTAAATTTGATGATCATGGTCACACTTGCTGGTTTTTGATTTAAAAATTTTTATTTGAATGTTGAACTGAATTATCATTCCCATTGTACCAATAACTATTTTCCAAATTGCTGTTTATCCATTTTGCTTATAAGTAAATTTGCTGGTGCTGCTTGTAAGTAATTTTTCCATAAATTTAAAAAGCTATAAAAGCCCTGCAGATATAACGTCGCGTAAAGAAAATTTACCAATGTAAAATAAATGAAAACTTTGATAAAAACAAATTTTCTGTAGTGTAAAAGTTAAAATTGATTTTTAAATATCAAACATTTTGTAACATGCTAAAGCTTTTCGTCGGACACTCATCAGTAAATAGGCAAATTAATCTTCGAATCCCTGAAACGCAACTTACGAAAAGCTCTTAGAGTAACTGACCTTGCTCCGTATACTGCACCCAGTGACCTCATTTTTAAATGCTAAGACTATTGAACTTTGACAAACCATACAAACTTGAGACAGTTGGCCACCATGACCCCCCAACTATCCCTATCCTCAGAATATCGTTTAGCTCTTCCAATGCTCTCACACCCGCTCCATTCTTAAACATAGTCTCGCCATGTTCTTCTTTGTCTTCCTCTGTCTCTTTTTCCATCAGTCATACCTTCTAAAGCAAACCTAGCCAAGAACACTTAATTGTATATAAGATTGTTTTTTCAATAATGTTCTTATTGTAATTTGGGATTAAATAATTGAATTTTGAAAAACTAACTTAATTGACGTAAGTTGTAATTAATTTTTTTTGACTTTCAGTTTCTTTACAACACAAGTTTATAAACCTTCCAAAATGGACGTAAAACCCCAGTTTGTAAACACTTTTTCTCCAAAACATGGAAGATGCTTTGTTTGCTTAGATCGTAGACGTTTGTCTAACTTATACTCTAAGAGAAATGGACTAGTCAAATCTACTGTCTTGTATGTCGACAAAGAAAAGGGGCAGATCAATCATCGTTTCTAAAAGACTGAACACTCCAAGAACAGGCTCAATACCCAAAAGAATCCTAAGAATAAGCCATAAAATTCTCATTAAGCGGCTGAGCACCCTTTAAAACATATCAAAATTATAACATATCGTTTCAAAAATGATTTGGTCAATCAATCAAAATTAATTTTTGGTCGGGAAAATGCCTGATAAGACTGATGCTGTTTTGTTCGCAAAAAAAAGTATGAACGGGGGCTAATACTGTCAACTGAAGCCACAGCATGGGCGGTGGCGTAGCTTGACCTTCCTGACTAAAGGTAGGGGGTGGAGGGTCATCAAAAGTATTTTTTACCGACAAAGACATAGATGGAGAGAAATTTAGATGCTATTTCCGACGTTGCTAAAACGAGGAACTAGCGGAATGACCTCGGAACGACTAAGGAATGACCGCGGAACGAGCGGAACGATTAAGGAATGACCGCGGAACGACCACGGAATGAGGAGAGAAATAGCGGAACGACGAGGGAATGACTGCGATACGAGAAAAGAGTTAGTGGAAAGACCAAAGAACAATACACCAATTCAACTTACGGCCTCATTTTGAAAAATTCTTCAAATTCTTTTTTGCAAAACATTTCACTTCAGATTCGGATTGCGAGCGAGGGAATAAAGCCTGATTTAAGACCGTTTTCCACTGGGCGTATATATTCGCGCGAAGCGACTTTTTTCGAGCATACGCATGCGTATTTAAATTCTCGCGCAGGAGCTCATTCGCGGTGACTGTTCCCAGCAGCGAAAAAGTGAGTTCGAATGGATTCAACTTTTTCGCGGCGAAAAAAGGCGCAAGCCAATTAAATTGCTGGAAATCTGTCATGGCTGCAATGACACTGAATCTCTTACAACAAATGATGGCAAATGGAGACATAACTGTGGCTGACCTTGCCAGTTTAGCAAATACCAACAGTCAACAGGAACTCTACAACCACGAAGACAATGCTGACACGCCAGGCTCCGTTGATGAGACAGGTTTTGAGGAGACAGAGACGATCGTCTCTGTTGTCACCACCACCACCCCGAGAACAATCTACAAGGCCTAGACCAGTACAATGGCGAAGAACTACTTGCAGCTGAATTCGACAAAGAAGTATTTTTGGAAGAAGTCCGCAAGTACAGATGTTTGTGGGATATTGCTTCCGAAGGATACAAAATTAGGCCCATGAAGCAAAACGCATGGTCAAAATTGGGCCAGTTATTCAACAAGGACGGTGAGTTCACAGCTATTTTTTTATATTCTCATAAAATTTACAACGACAATCAATTACAATACAAAAGCCTAGGGAGCATGGAAATGCATACCAACCCTAAGACTTACACTTAACATAGAGACACAAATATTACAATAATAAGCTACAAAAGTGATTGGAGTGGTGTCGCCCATCGTTCCAATAGCGTTGCAGATATGACAAATACTCACAAAAAGCTATTTTAAAAGGAGATATCAAGTTTACCTATGTTCCTTGCTAATCAAACAAATTTGCGCCCAGACATGATGAGCGACACCACTCCAATCGTAAAAGGAATAAAATTTATACAAAAGAGAAAATAATTTACACGAGAGAGGTTTTCACAGCTTTTGTTTTTCTTTTTGTCCCTCAAACTGATAACTCTCATAATAATAATCTAATAATTCTAAAGCCTGGTTTCCATATAGCCGTAAGGCTGCCTGCGACTGCTTTCTGCCATCTTCCATCTTCTATCCCTACGGTATCGCCGGCAGATAATTCTTTATGGAAACGCTTTCTAACGGTACCGCAGGCAGCTGTTAGAAGTGCCGTAAGACTGCCGGGAGAGCCGGGAGAAAGTTGAATGAGTTCAACTTTTCCCGGCTCTTACGGCAGCCTCCCGGTACCGCCGGCAGACAAATTACAAATGGAAACGCCTTGCCTGCGGCATTCTTTTGTTCAAACGGATCATGTGATGTGCAAGAACCAATTGAAACAGGGCTTTGTTGTTGAATTTTTCCCGCCAGTTTTTCCCGCTAGAACTTTACCAAGTTAACGGCATAGTTACCGATATCTCAGGCAATTGAAAACAGAACGTTTCTATATGCCGGTGTTCTATGCGTTTCTGCATGGGCATGCGTTTCTGCATGGGCTGAGACACATATGCGTCTCAAGTTTTACAGTGTAATGGCGGACATGCAGGGCCTTGCTGTGAATGGCGTGAAGCGCATATGCGTCACATTGGACACATGTGTTTCAACGGATGTGCGTTTCTAAACAAGCTGTAATACGGATCCGCTCCATGATACGCATATGCGCTTGAACGGATACAGCAAATATGTTTTCAGTATTATAACGGAAAATCACGATAGAAAAATTGTCAGCAAAATCACTGACATTGTCAATAAAATCATTACCTTATGGGGGAGAAACAGCTTAAATACATCTCATTGGCAGACCTTTATGCCATTTTTCTTCAAAGAGCGATCGCGAACAGTTATCGTAGCTCGAACGTGATTTGAATTAAGGATGACGGAGATTACGAAGAAGGATCGAGAATCAATTGAAAATGTAAGTATGGAAGAAACGATGAAGAAAGATTTTCAGAAAATGAAAGAAATTTTTAATTATCATTCAAATAAGACCAACCGTCTTAAACAACTTTATCCCGATGGCTTCAGTCAAAAAGAGAAGGACTGTTTGAGAAGATATGCAAGAAAATATGAATTAGATGGTAAGTTCATCACTTTTTAAATAGCCCATTGAAATATAGCCGATATTTAAACGAATTGCAAAGAATTTACAACTTTTTAAAAAACTTTCTTATGATTGTTAAATTTTCCCTTGCCCATCCCCATCCCCACTTTCCAACATGTGTCAGAGCCCATTATTAGAGATCCGAGGCAAGTCCCTTCCAGATTTTTGATCCCAAACAATTTCACATTCATAAAATACGTTATGCAAAAGCGCACAGGCCCACCTGGGCATCGGGAAATTTCCTGGTGAGTCCTTTGCCTCGCGTTAATTTTTTTTTAAAAATTTAAAAGCTTTCAAAAAGCAGATAATCTTCATACAAAACTAAAAATGTCGAGAGTATGTCGAGAGTATGTTTGCATAAAAGTTTCACGTCTCCTTTAAGCTGAGCAAAATTAAGTTTAATAGCAAAGATTCCCAATTCCTGTTATTGAAAAACTCATTCAAGGCGAAAGTTTGATCAGCAAATGCTGCACAATTTTCCAAATTCTTTGTAAAAAAATTGTGTGTTTTTGAAAGCAGAATCAAACCTGTGCATCACCCAGAAGGCAACACTCGCTACAAAACCGGTTGGCTTGTAATTTTCCAAGCTTATGTCTGTAGGCAAGTTGGCAAATAGGGTAGCAGCCCCCCTAACGCTCAGAAAGTTGGTATCTGAGAAATGTGCAAATCTGCAATAAAATCAGTACCCCAGGGAGTGGGGGTAGGGGGAGGGGTGATATTTCAGGTAAAATGTTTTAAAGAATTGCAAGAAAACGACTGCAAGAAATATTCTGAAAATTATTGTAAGCTAATCTAAAGAGCGTGGTCGCAAAAGATTTTATTTTCGCTTCGCTCACAAGGAAACCCAGTCTGCCCCTATTCGGAATGTTTTTAAATTTCCGCTTTTTATACAAGGGTTTTTAGAGAAAAATCCTTCGCGTTCTTTAGACATTCCCGATAAAGTAGTGGCTGGAATTCTGAAATGCTTGAATCCTTAAAAAACTAGAAATTCGGAAACTAGAAACCGAAATTCTTGTCAAGGATTTGGCTGACTTTGTTCCTATAAGAATTGACTTAGCTTGAAGCTTTTAAACACTATTTAGTATTTTCAAATATTTGCTTACAACTTTTAAAAATTTTGCATGTAAAGCTTCCACTTCTGACAAAATTCACAATGTAAAGGAATTTTGAAATAGCCAGTTGTAGAATGGAATGGGGGCCAGCCTCAAAAAGCTACATATGACTGTTATTTTGTTTGACAAGTTATACGTTTTTACAAAATGGGACGTTTTCCCGAATTCTGAAGGGTGTAGTACCAAGAATGTTTCTGTTGTAAGTCCAACGGACCCCCTTCTGTCAGACTCCCCTAACCCCTTCCAATCGTCAAACCACGGCTACGCAATTGAGTTAGAAGGGGGGTTTTACTAGGTGAATAGCAGATTGTCTTGCCAACAACAAACAACAGACTAATTTTTAGACAAATTATTACGAGATTTTTTCAAAATTATCAATTTTGGTTACGTAACATGTGTATATAGCTTGTGTTGTCTCTCTTGAATGATGGTGCTTTTTCCTTTGGCCATCGAATATCCCTTAATAGAGAAATCTGCGGTACGTATGTTAGAGGATAACAAATCCTAGTTTGAAATAATGTTTAATTATTCAAGTAAGAAAAAAATACTTGCCTACGATCATTTATTTTGTTTGCAAAAAGCTGATTTTCCGCTACACAAATTTTTTCGGACCCATTTTACAAACCCAAAGTTAAGCAACTGTCGAGCCTATTGGCGATGAAATTCGATGGTGTTTTGATTTTAGATGCCCCATGCAGAAACGCATAACACTGAAATTCTCTATGCGTTTCTGCATGGGCCTAAGGCAAACTACAAAAAATGATAAAAAATTCAAAAATGCTACTTGCATGGAAAAGTTTGACCTATATCAGATTGCTGCAATCATTTCTTGCTAGTAAACATTAATTTGCGATGAAATTCGATGGTGTTTTGATTTTAGATGCCCCATGCAGAAACGCATAACACTGAAATTCTCTATGCGTTTCTGCATGGGCTAAGCGGATGGTAGTTGTTCATCTTATCAATAGCATGATTGTAATTTCATTTTCTGAGTTTATCATGTCAAGAGGTTTATTTATTTGAGTATTTGATATTTAGTTAATTTCTAGAACTTTGATTTCGTTTTGTATTGTTTATATTGGATGTGCGCGTTGTGTACCCCACAGCTAGGCCCTCCATGTCCGCCATTACACTTTAACATTTGAAACGCATATGTGTCTCAGCCCATGCAGAAACGCATGCCCATGCAGAAACGCATATGACACCGGCGCTACTGTAAGGGTGGAAGATGAAAGATGGCAGAAAGCAGTCGCAGGCAGTCGCAGGCAGCCTTAAGGCTATATGGAAACCAGGCTTAAGAGACTTTCTGTGCTGGACAAAATTCTTAGTTTGATGATATCTTTTAGAATCTTGTAAATAATATTATTTGATTTCTTTTTTTGTAGTGGAATTTCTTCAGAGGCATCTAAAAAATCTAAAAGACAACCTGAAAAAATGTTTGGACAAGAGGAACCGGATGACTAGGTCTGGTGCTGCTGCAAGTTCATTGCCTAAATGCAAGTACTTTGAACAAATGAGATTTCTGCATGAAAAAACAGCAAACAGGCCCACAGAGAGCAACATTATTCAAGCTGAAACAGCTTTGCAGTCTGAAGATGTTTTGGACGGCCCATTAGCCTCTCAGATATCAGTAAGGCCAGTTGTTCTGAGTGGTACAAAAAGGAAGGCAAGTGACACACCATCCTCTTGTGGTAGTCAAGGGTATAAGAATCGTCAAGAAAGATTTGTTAATGCAATCCTGAAAGAATTGGAATCCACAAATAATGCAATCAAGTCAGTTGTCACTACTGATAATGAGGATGAAGTTTCTCTGTATTGCAAAAGCATCATTCCAATAATATCATCTTTTTCAGTTAAAAAGAAACGATTAGCTATGTTCAAAGTCAGCCAACTGTTGTTTGAACTTGAGTTTGAACATGAATAATATTATGTAAGGTTAACTTATTATGGTTATGTACCATTTATATTTTGATGTCTATACACATTTGTAGTTCTGCTCTTACTTGCTTCATTCTTTCATTGTCTGTCCTGAAACCACTCATATGGATTTGCAGTTCGACTAACCAATTCATTTTGCCATTCAACTGCGCCCTCGTTGGTAAAGTAGTTTTTATATCCATGTCTTACAGAAGCTGCATCTTTAGAGTAGTTATTTGAACCACTTTGAGAAATTGGTCGAAGGCTACCAAAATCAGCTCTGTTTTGTCTCCATTCACAAGTCTCAAACCCTGATGGTCCATCATGGTCAACAAAGTTTCTTGGGCAATATCGATTGTTTGTCGATGAATTTTTAAACATCAGTAGATTGTGCAGTGCAACAATAGCTTTTGTGATAAGTATTACTTTGCTTATATTGGCAATGATTGGTCTTCTCAATACTCGAAATCTACTGGCAGCAATCCCGAAAGTGTTTTCAATCACCCTCCTTGCCATTGATAACCGATAATTAAAGACACGTTAATCAAGTGGCAAATTATGTGATGGGAAGGGCTTCATCATATGTGTTTTGAGTCCAAATGCATCGTCCGCAACAAATACAAATGGAAGTCGTTTTTCTGAGTTGGACAGCTTTGCAGGTCCAGGGATTTGCAATAGATTATTTTCAATAGCATAACCTAAATTACTACAACTATACACACTTCCATCACTCTGGCGACCACTATCTCCTATATCCACCAGAGTGAACTTATATCTTGCATCGCAAATTGCCAAAAGGGCAATGCTAAAAGTTTTTTTGTAATTAAAAAAGGAAGATCCTGATCTTGCTGGTGCTTGCATGACCACATGTTTCCCATCAAGGGCTCCCAAGCAATTCGGAAAATTCCAAAATCTTGAAAATTCTTCGGCTATAGATTTCCATTCCAGTTCTGTTGATGGGTTTTCGATGAAGCCTTTTGCGCTGAGTACTTTCCATACAACTTCACAAGTCTCACCGATTATTCTCCCAACAACTGTGGGACTCATACGGAAGCTTGCTGATATCGTTACTTGGGCATCACCCGTCACCAGGTATCTTAAACAAACAGACAATCTTTCACTTGGTTGGATAGCTTTCCTCATTTTCGTATCGTTTTTCTGAAGAGAAACGGGCCAAACCAATTCAGGAGCTCTTCAAACAGTGTAGGTGTCATTCTAAAACACCTGAAAAAATATTCAGCATCGTGTAGTCTCAGTTCTTTGATCAAAAGATGATACTCGCCCTTCTGCTCCCGTTCTTCATAGATCTTCCTTATCCAAAACCTTTTCTTGTACTTTTGCAACCTTCTCTCACGTCTTCTTAGCAGCAAAATTTTGATCAATAATCGAGCTTTCAGTAGCAGTAGATACCTGAGATTAACAGCGGCCATCTTTGAAAAGCTTTTCGCACCAAAAAACCAAAACTCGCTGGAGTTTCTGTGGAAAACAAAAACGCGTTCGATCGATTTTTTTCGCCGCGAAAAATTCGCTTCGCGCGAATAAATTCGTATAGTGGAAAACGGCCTTTACACGAGATGAATTTTTTCATGCGAAGCGAATTTTTCGCCGCGATTGCGCGTAAAATATGCGCAGAAGTGGAGATTGGAAAACTCGCAGCGAATTCGCTGCGAAAAAGTAGAAACCATTCCTACTTTTTCGCTGCGAATTTTTTCGCCTTGTAAAATAAACCAATCAGAACAGCAATTGAAGACATCTGACACAAACGCAAAGGAAGGGCTAGGCCGAATGGTGCTACGCAATGTAAACATATATAAATCAAAAGTATGCAAAACGACAGAAAACTACGCAATGGTTCAAACAACAACATGGTTGAAAAATGAGTAACCTATGACTAAGCCTAAACAATGCTGGGAAAATCCCGCACCTGTAACATAAACAATGGAACGGGACGTTTCTAGCAACAGGCGTCTTTGGTGCAATAAACGATAAAAGCTCCTCATATGTAGTTGGCGACATTCGAAAGTATTTATTCCTGACAATCTAAGCGTAAGTCACTTACCAAAAGATGAAACTCCCCCTTCTGTAGACGTTCTGAATAAACTTTTCGAACCAAGTACCCCTTTCTTAGCTTTTTTGCTCGCTTTTTTTAATAACAATAATCTTCGAACAGACACCATTTTCTTTTGCATTATTCGCGGCGAATTCGCGAAAGAAATTCTGCCAGCGGAAATTAAACTTCGAATTCGCAGCGAATTCGCAGGCGAAAAATTCGTGGCGAAAAATTCGCTTCGCGCGAAAAATTCGTCTCGTGTAAATCAGGCTTAATGTATTGCTCACGATATTGATTTTATGACGACATTAAGATAAACATTTTCTAAGGGATTTTACCGTGATTGCCGACCATGGGTGTACTGTAAAGTTTCCCCCAGAATGATTTTTGCGGTCAAATCCCTTACAGGTTTGCAAACTTCATTTCTCTGTAAAACCTAAAATACAAGCACAAACAATATGAAGGATTGTATCCAACCTAAAATTATGGCGATAAAACCAAATCTTAGCTTAAAAAGCCATGAAATGAAGTTTGGAGAAATTTCCAAAACCAGACCGTAAGTCTAATTAGAGTATGGAATGATCAAAATAAAAAAAAATAGCTTCGAAAATAAATATGAGACGTAAGATATATAAAAGAAATCATGCTGGAATGATCAAGTTCTGTCAGGGCCTTCGAAATTTCTTTGCAACAAAATCTTTTGATATGGGAGTTCAATTTGCACTGTTTCTGATCTGTAGCACATTAGGCTCAACATTCAGAATATCGTCGTTATAAAATTTCGTCGTGGATTAAAGAACAGCAGAGATAACAAAATACTATCAGTATTCTTAGAGGCAAAATAACCAGGTCCTTGGAAACTTGAGCCCCACTGGGAATTTGGCTTAACCTTGCTGACAGCATTTTTATACAGAACAGCATTTTAGAGGAATCAAAACAAAAGTGAGATGTTTCCCAAGTTTATATGAAGGCAAATCAAGTCAAGTTGCGTCCAGCTCTCAATATCAACGCAGTGATTATGCCGATATTCTAAAATTACCGAACTGAAATATTCTCAAGAAAAACCGTTACAAGATTATCACAAATTAACCAATCAAAATGCAAGATCTTATAAAAATGGGTGTAGTGCGTTTACTCCTTACAAATGTGACAATAGATGTGCGTCGAAAGATTAAAAGGGAAAAACTTCAATTAGTCTAGTGCGAATACATCTCTTAGCAGCTTAATGAATAATAAACCAAAACATGACATCAAAATAATGTGCGCCTACGAAGTTCCCTGACAGTTGTTCCATCAAAAAGTCTTCCTGTTGAGATTAATGGGTTGTTCCGCGGTCATTCCCTGGTCGTTCCGCTAGTTATCGCCTCATTCCTTAGTCGTTCCGCTCGTTCCGCGGTCATTCTTTAGTGGTTCCGCTAGTTCCGCGCACGTTCCGCTAGTTCCTCGTTTTAGCAACGTCGTGCTATTTCACCTACTGATAGATGATTTTACCGATAAACTAAGGATTTCGTAGACAAACTGAAGATTTACCGATAAATTCTTGGGGGGTGATAAGTATTGGGGGGTGTTACATCCCCCACACCCCCCGCTACCAACGCACCTGAGTATAGGGATCCTGTGCTGCAGCAATCTTCATTTTATCGACTTAACAACGGATGCTTTAGAAAAGAGAAACTTTACATTGCCGTAAATCTGTCATGTGAATTGGGGGGGGGGGAGGAGGGTCATCAGAACGAGTGAGTATAAAGTGTGCAGTGGGTCATGGCACCACAAGCAAGTTGTGGTATGTGTGATGTTTTGCGCGCAAAACAGCATTAGTATTATCCAGTGGCGGCTCATGTATTGGGGCTAGTGGGGCTCAGCCCCACCAAAGATTTCCAAAAATAGGTTTTAGATTTATAAACGTAAATTAATTCAACGTCCATTACTAATTTAGCACTGCTATCTAATTTAGTTGCTTCGAGTTTCACTGTTTGTCCATTCTCTAGTTTGTTTAGGTCCCACTGCCCGCGGTTCTTTCGAAAACTGAACAAACACGCGTATCAGAAACCATGTCCCGAACTTTTGGGGCTAGCCCGAAACTAGCAGAGAATGCACCAATCAAGTGCCTCTCATGACTCTACTATTCAATTGATGACTACCTTCTGATTGGCCAATTCTCCTCGAATCTGCATTCCTTTGGGGCTAGTTGAGACTAGCCCCAAATAATTCAATTCAATGGTAGCTGGATTTTTGTTGTTGTGATAGGCAATGTTGATCTTGAAGTGGAACGCAGCAGAGTGGCGTGTATTCAATGACTCGAATCATCAGCCTTTAAACTTTGAAATAAAGCATACAAGTTAGATCTTTATCAGAATTAATTTTGCCGATCTTCAAATAAGCTCATGATAGCTCAGCGGTAGAGCACCTGACGTACAAAGTCAGGGGTCGTGAGTTCGAGCCTCGCTCGGGTCGGTTATTTTCCCGGACTTTCTATTAATGAAGGCTAGGCCGTAGGCCTTCTAATGGCATAAAGCATATTTCCAATGCAGGCTTTCAACTTGAACAATTTTAGCTTCACGTCATATGAAAATTAATCAATTAACAGTTTGAACTTTTTGTTCTTTAAAATTTTTTTAATTGCCATGATATGCAATGCAAAGGATATCGTCTAAGGATAACTTGAAAGGGTTGGCCATATTCAAGTTGGCTATGTTTTATGGACATCCCCCATGAACTCCCCTTTTTGTGAAGAGAGAAACGGTCCAGTGGACTTGAATGAATAAAGTTGGCACACCAACATTTCACATAGTTTATTATTTTGCTTATTAAAAAATTATACATGATTAATAGTGGCATTTTTTTTCAATCGAAACTTTCAAAATGATGACAGCCTTGTTGATTAGAGGTAGTAAGGAATGGAAAAGCTTTTTATTATTCTTGGCGTTCCGTGTCTATGGCTTTAACTTTCGAATATTACGTCATCAGCCCCACCAAAAATTTACCCCACGAGCCGCCACTGGTATTATCAGGCCTTTCTAGAAATGATAATTTATCTGCCCCATTTCTTTGTCGACATACAAAACAGTAGATTTGAGTAGGCTATTCACTTAGACTTAGACAAACGTCTGCGATCTAAGACAACAAAACTTCTTCCTTGTTTTGGAGAGAAAGTGTTTACAAACTGGGGTTTTACGTCCATTTTGGAAGGTTTATAAACTTGTGTTGTAAAGAAACTGAAAGTCAAAAAAAATTAATTACAACTTACGTCAATTAAGTTAGTTTTTCAAAATTCAATCATTTAATCCCAAATTACAATAAGAACATTATTGAATAAACAATCTTATATACAATTAAGTGTTCTTGGCCAGGCTTGCTTTAGATGGTATGATTGATGGAAAAAGAGACAGAGGAAGACAAAGAAGAACATGGCGAGACTATGTTTAAGAATGGAGCGGGTGTGAGAGCATTGGAAGAGCTAAACGATATTCTGAGGATAGGGATAGTTGGGGGGTCATGGTAGCCAACTGTCTCAAGTTTGTATGGTTTGTCAAAGTTCAATAGTCTTGGCATTTAAAAATGAGGTCACTGGGTGCAGTATACGGAGCAAGGTCAGTTACTCTAAGAGCTTTTCGTAAGTTGCGTTTTAGGGATTCGAAGATTAATTTGCCTATTTACTGATGAGTGTCCGACGAAAAGCTTTTGCATGTTACAAAATGTTTGATTTTTGAAAACCAATTTTAACTTTTGCATTGCCGTGAATTTGTTTTTATCAATGTTTTCATTTATTTTACGTTGGTAAATTTTATTTACGCGTGGCTATCCCTGCAGGGCTTTAACACATTTTTAAAAATTTTTGAAAAAAATTACTTGCAAGCTAAATCAACAAATTTGTTAAAAAAAAGATAAAAAAACAAAACATTTGAAAATAATTATCAGTACCATGATAATGATTTCTCAATGCAACATTCTTATAAAAAATTTTAAATCAAAAACCTGCAATTGTGATAATTATGATCAAAATTCTCTATCGTAATTGCTTTGTTTTGTTTTTCTAACAAAGCTTTTTCCACCCGTTTTACAAATTGATTGTGCCCTGTCAAATCAATAGTTCAACGTCTTTTCTTCGGATTGAAAACACGCCACAATCATATCATCAAAAGACAATGTGGCTTAAAAACAGCTTCTCAATTTTTTTTAGATAAAATGACAATGGTAATGCCCACGGATGAGCCCTAATTTTCAAGTACGTTCATTTTAGAAAAATAATAGACATTGTTATGGCAACTTCCCAGCTTCAAAAACGGGGTTTTCAAAGAAGGCTGTGTGCTCTGTGCCTACCCATGATCTCTGCACATGTTTGTGGGACGTATACATTGCCTTGCAAGGTATTAATTCTTTACTTGTAGCTGTATCCGCGGTAAGTATTGTTGAAATATTATTTATTGATATAAAAGAAGTCTATTTCAATAATGTTCGAAATTTTGATCCCATAACCAGAAAGCGCTCGGGAAATACTTGCAGCTTTTTCCATGCAAAATACCCACAAAAATAAATTGTAGGAAGTGGCTGAGATATGGCCAAAAAAATTAGAGGCTCTTTCTCTATCAGACTCAAATCGAGCCTCAAATCTCAAACCTCTATAACTTTTTGAAACGAGTAATCTGTAAGGAAACGACAAAACTTTCATTGGGCATATCTCGGCCGATTTATGACATTTCGTATATTCAGAAATATGTCGTAGTTTTCAATTCTGTCGTAGTAAACTGAAATATGTCAGGAAAAAACAAATACACAAGTTTGACCAAACTAAATCCATACATGTTGTCTTTTTCACGTAAGGTAAAGTTTAAAGTTTAAAACCATTATTTTCCTCTTGTTCAATATTATGGTATTGATTGGGATATTTTCTTTTTACTCAAAACGAAACTCGTGGGTTGTTATGCTTCAACTTTTCTAAATGCAATTTATATATTAATAAAAGTACAAAAATTAGAGACAGATGCAAAGATTTGAATGATCGTTTCCTTTAATCCTTTCGCTTATCTGTTAATCCATTGTATATGATTTTTCAAAGCACAATCTTTCATATCTGCTATTTATTCTATTGCAGAGATTCAGAAGAAAGTGACGTAGAAGATTGTGGTCACCACGAATCTGCAAAAGAATACAAAGCTAGATGGAGATCAATTCGTGTCATTTACTTAGCCGTCTTACTCAGTGCAATGGGTAAGTATCATTTGCTTAGCTTAAAAAGAATAAACGATGGATTTTTCCCAAATCTGCATTCAGATGTAAGAGCAAAACCTTGACTCAATTCCTGTTATAAAAAATATAAAATTATTTGGTTCTTTGTAAATCTATTTTTGTTATATGATGATTCAAACAAAAGCAAAATAATGTAAGATCAAATGAAATCTGATCTGATTAAATGAAGCCAATATTCTTTCGAAATTTCTTTTTGCGATAGAGTTGCACAGCTATATGCGTAGATTTGGCAACGTCTAGGTGGAGGTTTAGAAATGTCACTGTGAAAAACTATTCCTTTTACAGCCCACGTGACTTTTCAACATTGAGCGTCTTCTTGGCTTTGCTTGAGAAAAAGGGTATTGGAAAACATATTTCAAAAATCTAAATCAAGGATGTTAAACAAGCTAGACTATAGAAACTTGATCCCTAAAAAAATTTTCAAAGTATATTTGTTTCCATTTATTCTAGAGTTTTCAATTACCCTGCCGTCATTATTGCCATATCTGCAGAAGGCAAGATTCTTTTATATTCTTTTAAAGCATATTATCGAAAAGCAATACTTAGGCAACAGCTAGAACAGTGCCATGATTTTCATTAGCAATAAAAGAGCTTTGATTTCTATGAGCAGAATAGATGTTTTTTTGGCACTCAAAGCACAAAATGATTGATAATAGGAACGCCATTATCGCTTGTGATAAAAGCAAACAGTAACGGGAAAGTAGAACGGTATATCTAAGGCGCAATGCAATTAGAAAGAATATTTATGACAAGGTTTAAACAATAGAGGTATATTATGTTGTATAATAGTCTTTGCAAGGTCAATTATTATTATAAGCCTTAGCGTGAGTATTATTTTCGATATTTCATAAACCAAAGCTGTAATATTGAGAGCATTTGTTTTTCAATGAGCTTTTTTATCTAAACAACCCTTTTGCAAAAAGAGCCATGAAATGCAACCCCCTTTTTTTGAACAAAACTCGTTTATGAGGGTGTTGTAGAAATTATCTAGTGTACCAACACCAGAACTATCTGCTGGTTCACAGATTTCATGTTAAAGTGCCAAGAGAACACCAAGGGAAACACAACAGTTGTATCCAGTCCTTCTTCATTGTATACTGCACACCTCGCTACTGATTATCTATCTCTCTATCGCCGTTTCTGTCGCTTCTTACCTCACAATCTGACGTTTTATATACTTTTGATCTACAAGAACTAAAATATCTACCAATCAGCATTTAGAAAAACAGAATAAAAATTTTACGTCAAAGATTCTTTATGAATAACTTTAAAATGCTGTTTGTTTAGACCGATGAATAGCTTGAGTGAGCCCATGATTAGCCTGAGTCAGCCCAACACTTCGTTAACCAAATCTATGACGGATACCTACACAAACATTAATTACGCAAGAAACTCTATGAATTAACAAGAAGAAAAAACAAATCTCTATGCGAAAAGCACGTTTTGCTGTGCTATATTAAATGCGCTGGCATGAATGAAAAATCCCAACAGGTTTATTATAAGTGTCTTTAATTTTATAGATTGATCCTACGGTCACTCCCCAATTTCTCGCTTGTACAAATGGTGGTTTCTGCTTGGCCAAGTAGTTGGCTCATTTCTGCTTGGTTCCTGGTACCAGTACCGACCAGCAAAAGAGCCACTGATAGCATGCATCTTCATTCGCATTGTTGGAAACTTTTTTTATGTGCTTCCTGAAAAATATCATGGTTTTCATGGAAAAATGTTGATTCTATCTGCAAAGCTTATAATTGGCCTGTCGACAGGTAAATAATAAAATTTCCGTGGCTGGATTCCTCCAACACCACAAGTTGTCAGTCAGGAGGGCCCTATAGGTTTGAATTTGGTGAGAGACATTAGCAAATAACATGTTACTATAAAGGAAAATGTCTTGCTTACTAACAACAAGAAAGTTTAACATCCACTACATCCATGTGCGAGATAATATCTTTAGTTCAATAAGTTAAGGAAGAGTCAATGCTATGTTTCTTGAAAAATATCATTTTGTAGTATGTTCAAGCAAATTGAGGGATTTAAGTATTGAAATCCTTAAAGTCCTGTCTATAGACCTGATAGGAGTTTTGAAACAAAAATACAAGCCTTCGTAGAACATTGATAAAGTCAAAGAAGTTGCTGCAAGATGTCGCTTAAGTGACATACTGATATGGT